TCTTCTAAACGGTTTGCCTCTAAACTCTTGAGCTTCCAGTTTATCCTGGAGGGTTACTGCGATTACTGCAGAACCGTCTCAGAGGATGATTCTCCTTAAGGAACTTACAATAACGGTGATTTTTCATGAGCGGATGCGAGTTGTCGCAGCAGAACGCCGGCGAATTTGGTTACCGAAAAGTCTGGATAATGAGAATTCCTCAGAACGCTTCATCAACAGCATATTTTAACCAGAAAGTTCATCGCAAACTATGAGCGGCGCACACAATCAGTGAATCCTAAATAGTGGAATAAGTAACCGGAGAATAATGAGTAACCCATTCATCTGCTCTCAATGCATGTCAGTATTTAGCCGGAGTTATAACGACAGAGTGTAAGGTAAAAGCACGATGGTTAAATAAGCAGCGACAGCGAATTCGGTGGTACATGAAACGAACTTGGACGGGGGCGACTTGCCCGGTACCTGGCTGTCATCCGGCGAATTCATAGTGGGCTGATTGGTTATCTCTGGGCCCTAAATCTTGACTAACGTCGTAACCTAGTCACTTGACATGACGAAGCTTTTGTTTCAAAAGCGAAATGTTGTCCAGCTATAAATCCACGAATTTCTTTCGAATTTTTCAGGAAACCAATTTATAAATAACTCCCATGTTTATCGTTACATTTTGCGTTTAAATCCATCCCTTGAATTGAGGTAACACAATTGTGTGCTTGAAGAACACGAGGATTACATGCTGTTTGGATCAATTTCAAGTGAATCTAAGGATAACTGGTCCAACTGAATGTGATAAACCAGAGAGATTGGAGGACGCCTACTGTTCGAATCAAGCTAGCGAGTCATAATCATCGCTCATGTGCGTACACTCAGGGTTTCGCCATCGACCGGGGAATAACAATTCTAATGTCAAAACACTGAGAATTTGTGCCTTTGAATGGCTTGATTAGCCTGAAGTCGCGTCCTTAATCCGACGGGGTGTTCCGATCCTTCTTGTGCTTTTTTACCCAGGCATGACGAATATGAATTTACACTCTGTTATTCAGAGGGCACAATTATATCTACCCCATTCGGCTCGCTCACCTTCATCCTTGGCATTCAAATAAATCTTGACAGACTAAACAGTTATATCTTTCACAGAGAACTTGCATCGAGCACTCAAGAACGGCGATGCCTCATAATATGATGTCAGTTTTGCAACGGTTAAATGGCATATCAGATTGCTATTTGTGCTCTGAATACAGATCTATTTGTCACGATAATTATTCCATAATTAGGAGTTGGAAATGAGTGGCACACCCTAAAGGGTCGCCCCATATTGAACTTATAACCTTTCCTGTCTGAATGACCTGCACTGGATGAAGTGAACCTTGTCTTACAGCTGTGACCTTGGCCTTTTTTCTGTGAAACCAGGTCACATGGGATCGATGGCAGTGATCTTCGAAAACATGGTGGCCTACATGACCTGTTTCACGTGTGCGATAATCTGACTGCAGTAGATTTTAATGCGTGAAGTGAAAAACGTTGAGGCAGGATGCAGAACCTAATTTCAACACACTCAAAATATCCATCCATTTTCAGGGAAACAGGTCGACTTTGAATGAAGCTGAGTTCATTATATGAACACACATTTCAAGATTGCGTTAGAGCTTTCTTTTGCATCTTCCTGCCGACAGTCAGGGAACTGAAATCACAGCTGGCTGTTAGGTATCCCGTAGAGTGTTTACGGTGCACACTTTATGTTATGGGGTCTTCACCAGAGAAATCCGGATTTTGACTGAATTCGTTAATCGGGGCGGGAGGATGATGTTTCTCTGATGTCCCGTTCTGCGATCAACGAAGGATGATTTGGGATCAAACACTCATTTGCAAACTAATTTGGTCTTTCGAGAGGCCCACCTGGAACCCAGCTGAATCTCTCGTTTGTGTTGTTCTCAGGTAACTGAATGTGCCGCCCCAGGCCGCTTCAGGTTGC